TTTTATTTACTCACGAGGGTGCAGCCTATCCCGAGCCAAATTCCATAAACTTTCACATTTTTGTAGTGTCATTTGTGTACTTACTGCGGTTTATCAAAAACTTTCTACAACACTCAGCACTGTAGCAGTTGGCCCTCTCCCGGCCGAAGCCTAAAAAAGGTCAAATTTGTTGTTTTCCTTTCTGATCGGCGAAATAACGTTGTGAATACGTAAGAGACCTAAAGTTTACTTCAGACACACTCTTTCAACGCGTTGTTTCAATCCAGAGGCCTTGATAACATGTATTCTTCGAGAGATAGTCGGTGTCCGCTGGGAGAGGTTAGGAGGTTATGTTGCACCTAAACTCGCAGACGTCGCAGAGCATTAACAGAACAAAAATATTCCATTTCCAGTGATATCAGCGTTAATCTTAAAGAGCACAGTTGTTTCCTAGTGTAAATATATGGCTCTGGTATATTATGACTGCTATTTCGTCACAAAGAAAGGTAAATTACAAGTTTGAAGCTTTTTTAGGCTTCGGCCGGGAGAGGGCCAACTGCTACAGTGCTGAGTGTTGTAGAAAGTTTTAGATAAACCGCAGTAAGTACACAAATGACACTACAAAAATGTGAAAGTTTATGGAATTTGGCTCGGGATAGGCTGCACCCTCGTGAGTAAATAAAAGTGTAAACATTTATAAAATGTTCATAAACATGAGTTGGGGTTAGGGGCCGAACGATGGGCTCGGCTTTATAATCGTTATTTTTATTGTTGGAGGTACCGATTCGACATCAGATACCTATAAAGCACTTTGCCATTGTGTCTCTTACCTCTTTATCGAAGGTCTGATGTGGGTCGGGCGTCATTTTTTCTGAAATACTAAAATCATTGGACCAAGAGCGACAGAGTCTCCTCAGCGCTCGCAAATAGTTTTGTTCATTTGCAAAATAAAAGACGTCAAACAGGGGAGATCTTGTTAGATTCCATATCCTTGAGACCTGAGGCAACGTATTATACACTTTCTGAAACGATTCTTGCATGGCAAAGTATTTTAAAAATAGCAAATCTACAGTGAGGAGCACTGAGCGGCGGTTTGAACGGCCGGTTCGCGCCGTCCGGGCGGCGACTTCCGGGGCTCGCGCATGGGCCCGCCCTCAGCACTGCGTTGCGAGCCCCTGTTTGAACGCAGAATTTAAGCTGACACCACGTGGGACGTGGGCCGTCGACTGAACGTCGACTCGACGTCGACTCTAATAATATGCGAACCGAACAGCTGCAAACAGCATTTAAGTACCAAAAACAGTTAGGTCGAAAATTCGTCGATCATTAAGAATTTTCGACGTGTTACTCCCAACGACCGCTCTTCGACTCATCGACGTCGATTCGACGTCGATTGGACCATCTTTTTCTGACTCGGAGAAACCTGCAGGTTCACAAAAGACTGGATGGGATAATTCAAGTCAAATGAGTCGAAAGCGCGGTTGACAGCGACTCACTTTTTCCCACTATTTTGATTAAACTTTTGATGACAGTCTCTATTTGCCAGTTTGTCGGAGGTGAAGTGGGTAAAGTGACCATTTTACCGCGTCCCGTGAGAAATTTCGTCAGTGTTGTTCAGAAAAGTGTTTCAAATTGCTGGTGCTAGTGGCTGAGTGAGATGAAAGTATGCGTTTACCCCAAACTGCATAATGCCGCATGTCAATCAGTAGATCATGACGCAGCTGCATATGAGCATATGACGGTGTTTGTGGAACATTTTCCAAGCAAATTCTCAGAGCTGAAATATGAAAGGGTTCGGAGACGTCTAACAACATTGAAAAAGACGTCAACTTGTATACTCTAAGAGTACATTTGTTCAGAACTCTGTCACATGTAGTCTCGTTTGATCGAGAATTTTGCGCGGAGTTCGATAGTAACTTAGGAAATTTAATCTGAGCCCTTTGATAAACTGTGCGTCATCACACAGGTTTCAGTGATAGTCATCCGTTCTTGTGCTTTATTTTTCTTACACTTAATCTTGAGTCATGATGAATGTGTGAAACATATGAGCCATACAAATTGAGATTCTCAACGTAGAACGTCACTTTTACCCCACTTTTTAGACTTAAAAAGTCACGTATTTGAGATCGGGAAAGTCACTTTGTCACTTTTATAAACCCTCTCAGGCGCTGGCAACCCTGGTCGGCAGGGAAACTTGCCTCCACCCTAAGGAAACGAAGATAAAGGAAACATGCATGCAGGTATCGTAAGAAACATCCCAGTGAAAATTCCTCCAAAATGCATCGTGAGCATATGGGCAACTCCCGCTAGGAGGAACAGAAGTGCAATACTCTGAAAAGTCGGACTGAATCAATACGCATAATGTCTCTTACTTGAAATTGACCAAGCTGTCCTCCCGTGTAAATCTCTTCAGCTATTTCAGCCGTGGCTCCTAAGAGTGCGTGAATCGCTCGTATGCTGGTTGAGAGGTAAAACGTGACTGCGTAGCACGTCGCAAGCGCCACAACCAGTCGCAGGGCGGCGATAAGCTTCAGCCCAGAGTCCTTTGAAACAGCACTGAACGTGCAGGCACAGAACACACCAAACAGGTAGTAGCTGAATGTCTGCGAACACAGATACGACAAAGCTATGATGAATAAGTGTTGGCTACAATTTACAGTTCCACCTCAGAGATAACCAGCCAAAGTGGCAACCTCTCAACTGAAAACTGCGTAATGACGCATGTCGATCGCTAGACATTAATTTCAGTTATTTTTGGAATATTGTCTAATCGAGCTCTCAACGTATGTTTCCGATGGCACCATTAAATTCTTATAAAATGTCGGATGAATAAAGCCTACATGTGATCCGGTTTGGAGTACAAATAAGGTCCAAGTGCTCCCTAACTTACAACTGAACTGCCTTCAGGGTGATTCTCAGAATACGGGCCATTTAGATTCCGATTCCGCGGCCCTTCAAAACTATGTGATGTGGTTTTAAAAGGGTTTTATACCACATAGATACTAGAAAGCACTAACATTACCTGGTGCACTATACTACTAGGTAGATGTACGCCAGACCACGTCTCGCGTAACAGGCTTCGCGATATCTTACGAAACACTGTTACTCTGCTACGGGCCTGGCATACATCTACCTGCGGGGCTAACACCCGAGTTTGCCAAAAGGCTCAGTCTTAAATGGCTTTCGGCCCTAAAAGTCACAAATTTAGTTCTTTGGGGCTTCTTTTGACGAAGTACCCCACCGGAGATCATCAATTATCTGAGAAAAAACACTTAAATATTTTGGGGTCATTTCCGCGTCTAAAACGCCCTTGGTGCCTAAACGGTTAGAGACAGAGCCAAAGGGACAAAATTTACGTCCGAAGAGATCTGCTTTGATGAGGTACCCTTTGGGAAACTGTAAAAAAATATTTTAAAAAGACGTCATTTTTGGGAGCTGTAATTTATGATTAAAAAAAATTGAGCTAGAATGCTCTTCTTTGCACTCGATCTGTCTTTTGATAAAACACAAAACGACCCCGAAAATCCCAGGTCGCTAGCTCAAATCATTCTCGAGTTATCGTGATGACAAACAAACACACAGACAAACAGACGCGAAGCTTTTTAATCATCACTGGAGTAATAGGCTTCGCTAATCGCTTAGCCATAAAACCTAAGAATATTGCTATGAAAAGTATGTTTTTGATATTCTGCTTCTTTTGTGGCTAAGCGGGTCGTTGCATCTACAACCTCAGATTAGTAATGCTTCAATTAGTACCAAGTGACTTTGGGAACTCCGTATCCCCCTTTTTAGGTCTGGCCTTCGTTTAGTAACTTATAGGTACAGGTAACGCGTTGCAATGACCTAATGAGGAAATATGTACTAAGGGGTTAATTTAGAACTGTAATATATGAGGTTGGGCATCCGTGAAGCAGTGTCGAGGCGAGAAACAAGTTATTTATTGCAATGTTCTAGTCTTACTGCAACGCTTGAAATGGGGATGACTGGATGTAAAGTATGAGTACAATACACTAGTGGAGCAAACAAGAGACCAATTAAAAGGTGCGGGAGGCAAAATTTGAGTTTCATCATTGATTGAACGTAACAACAACGTGGTCTTTTAACTTTGTACTAGAAGTGCGTTATTTGAACTATCGCCACTTTGCACATATCTTATTTGAAGTTAAATAAAACCATTGCGACCAAAACACCTAGCAAATTAGACGAAAAAAAAATTAATTCGGAACTGCCAAATGGCCCGTATTCTGAGAATCACCTTTTAACGTTATTTTAGGAGTTAAGTTCTAACTTGTGACTTTCTGTAGTCCTTTGCCTAGTTCCGTACGGACGAAAACCCTACAATGGTTCAAGAATGGACTCGCCACAAGCTGCCCCTCACAATCCCGACGGTTCTGAAAAATATCTTAGAAGGCACTAAACGCGGCTTCAATATGGCTTCTAATTTTGAAGTATCAATTTTAGTTCTTCTGAAGCTCCACGTTTCTCCAGGAGCCTCACGACCCTGTATACATCACCTTGTTCCCAAAGAGTCGGCCTTCAATCTTTGACACCAGGCGTGTATCTCTGGGAACTAGACGGTCTTGCCACCACCGGAGTGCAGTTGCTAGGTCCATCCGCTCAGCCCCAGATGGCCTGAATGCATCTACCAATACTCTCTGATGTAGCAAAAATACACTCACCCTGTAAACCAGACAAACACGTTGCAAGGTGTACCAAATGAATTTTCCACATGATTAATCTGCTCGTTCTTTACGGAATTTGTTTTATGCTTGCAAGGGCACGTTGTTTTTGGTTTTATTGTGCATGTAGCGCCTGCAAAGTAGTAGGTAGGCAACCCGCCATGCATTCATGTGGCATTGGTGGTGTAGCGCGATACTGGGAGGGCTTCTGGTTCTGGGGTTTGAACTGGCGATGAAGTCTTCTCGCCAGACAGTTCACGGCCAAAAAAATGTCCCTGGATTCAATGACACTTTTTTTTCATGTGGCATTTTACATTTGGTGTATGCCTAGCATTCTTGGTGGCCCCATTCCTGGGGCACAAAAGTCTATTTTCTCACTTTTGAAAAATAAGGAGAAATGTAAGTAGGGATGGGGAGTAGGCTGGAACTTGTGAGTTGGCATAAGCATCTATGTGATAAAAAAATTCAAATGTTGTTTTAAAAAAAAATCAATAGAACAATACATTTCTTTTTTAAATGTTAAATTGTTTGGTTTTAAATGTTTGGAATAGCTCAAGTGATGTCATTTTGTATTTTGTTGAGAAAAATTGTAAAAGTGGATAATACTAACTTTGATTTATGCTGAAAGTTTTGTGACACATGGACCTTTAGTTTTTAAGCTGTGGGGATTGCGCTTTCTCTGGCCATCGAACTTGTGCCAACTGAATCTCTTCGACATGGCTTGAATGGATGACTATGAATTACCTATGTTTCAGTTCACATTCGTTCATATACAATAATAGCTATCTGTCACAATATATGTATATTGTATATTTATAAGTTCTAGTTGCAACGCTGACTTTTGGTTGTTTTGCTTATCCCAAAAAATTAGACAATTACTTTATTCATAAATATGTTTTATCTTTACTCTCTCCTAATATGTAAAAGCTGCCTCCTCGGTTTAACTTTATGAAGGTATTCTTTCTATATACCACCTTCTATTGTTTAATTTTTTTATTTTTCCTGTATAATCGTTGCTCATGTTGTACATTTTTAGCGGTCATTCATTCCGTTTCTGGAACGAACAAGATGCAGGCGCGGCATACTAGCAGACATCACAAAGTATGTTCACGAGTGTGAATATTCTCCCCAAAGTAACACTATGACAGCAACTGTATGTCCCTGTCACATGCTTCTTTATTCGTCTTCATTCATGATACCACTATTAGCGATATTAATTAGAATGTGACAGAAGAAGCATTCGACATCTCAGCAGATTTGCTCGCTAGATCTGTCATCCTATCAAACCTCCAAGGAGGTTCCTGTTTGGTGAGTGGAAGCTTCTCTATCAAGTATCAGCTGAAGTTAAGTCTGTTTTCTAGACAAGATTTATTGTTTCTTGTCCCACGACTGCTCACAGGATTCTCTTCGTTCCATACTTCACAGTATGATTGTGAAAGAGGGTCTGTGCTCGAAAGAAAAAGAGAGCATTCTTGTGGTTTACAGGGAGACAACAGACAAAGCTCTTGTCGAGGTAGGCTGTCCCACTCGGCCACTGCTGATAATTTTAAGTATTAGTTGTCATAGTTTGTCACCAGTGTCACTATCAAATGTGCATGTTCGTTGCAGTGCCTTGAACCATACTATGCCAACTTTCTCATAAACCAGAAAACACTCTTCTTCATGGAAAGTGAAGTGTCCATGGCACCACGAACAAAGGAACATGATTTGACATTACAAGCAGCTGATGAGGCTTATCCTGTGAACATTGTACGACCACCCGATGTGAAATTACAAGCAGTTCAGGGGGAGGTTCGCCCTGTGAACACTGAATCTCCTGCTGATGTCACATTACATGCAGCTATGAATAAGGTTTGCCTTAAAAATCTAAAGAAAGGTTTTTCCTTGGTAAGTACCATCTATACGTCATTGCACTGCTAAAACTGGAATCTATTTTCCGACATTTTAATCGTTCTTATTGTGCGCCCCTGCTCTGCTACAGGACTATCTCCATTACACTCTGAAAAAAGTAGTAGAGGAAGGGAAGTGTGTTCGCTCAAAGGACTCAAAGGCTGACAAGGACCCTATTTCTGAAATATCAGTTGTGGAGGGAGGTGCAGGAGCTCTAGTTGATGTATTTGACTAACATTATTTTCAAATTAATAATTGTACAACCCTTCAGCAGTCTAATGTGCTACTTTATACAGCTATCTAAAGAAAAAAATAGCCAATTCTTTGCTTTTGAAGAAAAGTTTTCTATACATGGAGGAAGTAGATATATTGTAGCAGCAGTAAAAAAGAGTAAGATTCCCTTGCTTATCTTCATAAAGATTTTTCTACGGTAAGCTCAGACATGCCCTTCATGTAGTTCTAAACAATCTCGATTTTTACAAACTTTTCACTGCTGCTTGTGCTACTTACAGGACTTTCTGTGTTACACATTTTTTAAATTTATTTATTGCAAGTTGATGGGTTCCATGAGTCAGAGACTCGTACCAAGGGACAATACAAAGTTTGAAATGGTTGGTGACATGGCATTATTAAGTATTGCAAAATATAGTTATACAAGTGGATGTAAGAAAGAGATTAAAGTTATTGAGGAGTATACATTTGCTTAACATATTTTTTAAATTTCTTGATGTTAGCGAACTTCAATGCCTCTTGAGGAACAGAATTAAATAGCTTCAGAGCTCTATTAAATATGGATCCAGTCTGACGAAAATAGTGCCGCTAACAAGAAGTTATCCGAACGTTTTCCGCCAGTTATTTCTACGTTTTTACATCAGAAACACGTTGGAGACTAGTTAGCACACATAGAAACTGTTTGGGCGCGTTACTAAGCATATTCTTAAACCGAGTTGAAACTGCAATTTGCAGAACGCATCGTAACAAGTCGAAAACCTGTCCCAATGCGTTACCAGCTAGTTATTGAAACATTATCGAAACCAACTACAGTCGCGGTCACTAAACGTATACGCAACCGTTGAGGCACTAACAGTTAATCGGTACTATCTAGTTACTCGAAACGCAGAAAAAACTGACAGCCGTGTCCGTTTTCAAACAGTTTCGGCGAACACGGTTATAACTGTCACCAGAGTGAGTTTCCAAACGGTTTCCACAGCGTTACGCATAACCGACTACGTGTGGTTTCTGAAACACGGTCTGCAAACTCGAAGACGAGTAGGTACAGTGTGTTTTTGTGTAGTTTGCGTTAACATTGTGATAACCTCACACGGAACTAGTTTCTAAACGATTTCTTGAACGTGATGAGTAACTTCCCCATCCAAAACAAAATTCTTTTTGGACGTCGATTTGACCTTGACACCTCGATTTGAGTAGAAAAATTACGTTTTTCGAGCATCGTCGACGTCGATTCAGAAACTGCGTGAAATCCTACACTGTTAACACAAGTGTTCAACTGTTCACCACTTGAAAGTGTGCACCTCCCTGTAACACACTTGTAAGTGTTCAACTCAGCAGTTGTACAGTTGTAAGTGTCCAGCTCAGCAGTTATACACTTTTAAGTGTTCAACAAGGGACGTGTTTGACGGGGCTGTTAAACACTTCCTGGTGTAACTGATAAGTTGCACATATGCGTGTTTAACTAGCGAGTTGAGCACTTGGATCTGTGTAACAGGAAGATGCACACATGCTAAGTGTTGAACACTTTTGTTTATAGTGTGTAAAATGTCCCGTGACCTTATGAAATCCGTCAAATTTCTAAAACTGCCCCCACCCCTCAAATGTGAGGATCTTAGAAATCCATAAAAACTCATGAAATCTTTGTGAAATTTTGAAATTGTCAAATCAGTTGTTGAACGAGTTTTGCAGGCATGGCCCCCTTTCCACTCACGGTTCGAGTTTTTCAAAGGTTTCCATAGCACGCTGGAAACCAATTGCAGCGTGTTTCTATGGCGCTTTTGGAAACACGATAAAAACCTCTCCCCCCTCTCCCGCACCCGCCCTCCCCGGAGGGAGAGGGACGGAGGAAGGGGAGGGGGGGGGGAAGCGGCGTGCCCGGCGATGTTGTCGGGCCGGCGATACAAAGGCTGGAATGTGTTTCGTCGTCCGGGCTCGCCCCCGCATCGGGCTAAATGGCTCAGTTGGTTGCGAACGAGGCGAGGACGCTGAGTTGGCAGCGCCGGGTTCTGTTCCCGGCGCTGGCAGCGGTAGGCGTGTATCCTTCTATGTAGCAGCCGACTAAGCCATGATGACAGCCTATAGGGGCGTGACCAACTCGGATGACCGTAGGAATCCAAAATTGCAAAGGGGCGACCGCCTCGATGCGAACACCGGAGCAAACATCCGCAAATCGTGTAATTATTTTTATTTTTTTTAACATCGGCATCGCAGTGCTTTGCATGCGAGAAACGAGGTAAACCGTCTAAAAACACGTTGGGTGGGAGAGGAAAAAGGAGAGAAATCAAAAAATCCTGTGGCGTAAAAATTATTTTTCTACGCACTCTTTAGAAGTTACAAAAAACCGGATGAAAACGCACAGGACACTGGGTGCACCTCAACTGCAAAACTCTCCAGAAACGTACGAGAAACTGCGTGCGGCGCACTTCGGAAACGGACTAGAAACGTCGAGAAACCTACAAGAAACAGACTACAGCACGTTATGATACGAGGCTAGAAACACAGCTCAAACTCGATGCAACCTGTTACCAAAATGTTTGTGAATGTCCAGTTTTCACGTTTTTATAACTGTCAACTGGCCGTTCCTTAAACATTCCTAAAACTACCTCACAACTTCTAACTATATGTTTTTGTAACTGCTTGAAAACAGGCGATTTTCGTCAGGGATGGGATGTTGTATTATGCTGTTGTTGATGAATTTTTGTTGAGGATCTGGTAGCGTAGGTATGGATCTCACTATTAGTTACCAGGTGAATATTGGTGTTCACAA